TTTATATTATAAAGTAATTATTTTATTCTTTTGTTTTTATATTTTGTTAATTCTTTTTATAAATATTTTATTTGAAATATTAAATAGAAATTATTAATGGAATAATCTATATTAATATACTGTATTATATTAATATAATATACTAATATATTATATTTTTAATGTACATTAGTTGACATCCTGTTGACATAATAGGAAAAACTGTATTTTTTTTTGGTTATTTGGACCGATTTGGTTGACATTTCCGAAATATAGGAAATGTCGGCCGACATAATGTAATTTTTATATTACCATCCACTTTCATGTCGGTGAGCCTCGACATCGACATATGTCGGGCGACATTTGGCGACATTTGAAACCATGATTTTGAGTCAATTCTTTGTTGATACTCAAGAAATGTTGCTATTGTTCTGTGCAGCGGATAACTGCAGAGGCTGCCCTTAATCATGAATGGTTCCGTGAAGTTCCTCTTCCAAAATCAAAGGATTTTATGCCAACATTTCCTGCTCAACATGCTCAGGACAGGTAATTTGGTTCAATAACTGGGAAGCAGCATAAGCATCAAAAAGCAATTTTGTTAACATATTTGCCATGCCACCGTACATATCATTCTATTTGAGGTTTATTTATGTGAGCAGGCATCTAAGAAGAATAATGAAGAGCCCTGATCCACTAGAAGAACAACGGAGGAAGGAGTTGCAGCAAGGGGAATTGGGCAGTGGTGGCTTGTTTGGCTGAGAGAGTTGAATGGGTATAAGGTCACATTTGAACTCCCTTTCTCAGATTTTGCATCAAAGGTCACCATTAGAGGATGCAGTTGAGGTGAGCAATGTGTCTTGCATGTCGAGTTGCGCAAACTCTTTGAGGTGATCACTTGTGCTGTTGCTTAGCAGGCACCTCTGGTGATTTGGCTGGACAGATGTATTCTTTTGTTGTTTCCTGCCAACTAAACAGTCACAGGATATTTTTTTTGTCCTCGACCATTGATGATCATAAAAAGTGCATCCTTTTTCCCTGCTTGGGTCGCAAGGTGTGGCATAGTGGAATTTCTTTTTCAGTTTCATTTGAAACTTATGTAACATATTTTTCATTGGCACATTGTAGACATGCTCCTAAAATCTGGCTATATCTACCAGAATAGAATGGATTTACTGCCTATTTCCAGTTCTGTTTCTTTTAATCTTCACATTGTGTTTGCAAGAGACGATTGGTGTGAAGTGGAGGGATGTACCTTGCTTTTCATACCTGAAGAATTGACTGAAAATGTTGCACTTCATAGTTCATAAGGTAATTTATTGATTTACATCTGAATAATGTAACCAAATGTTGGACTTTGCTTTGCACCATAAAGGATTTTTCATGATTGCAAATGTCACAATGGCTGCTTGCTTGGTTTTTGATGGTCACTAATTAGTTTTAGTGAATGTAATATCCCAACAATCACCTATAAAGAACAAGTATTTTAGGCCCTTTCCTCTGCCCACAAAAATGTAACTTCGCCTCTGGTGTAATATAAATATAAACAGATAAACAATTGGAATTTGTTCATTGCATTGTTTACATGCAACCCATTTTTTTCCACTGCAATTATTTCTAAAATGACAGATGTGATGACAATACTTCTGGAGAGAAATATTGGTGAATTATACTTGGTAAATGGAGTTTCTCTCCTTAGTGCACCTTGACATCTCTATTTTTTGAGGAGCTCCATGTATCTATTTCTGTATTGGTGAATGGTGAATTGTACTTTCACAAAGAAATATCGGTGAACAGAGTTGCTCTCCCTTATGCACCTTGACCGAGGAGCTCCATGTATCTATCTCTGTATTGGTGAATGGTGAATTGTAGTACTTTCAGAGTTGCTCTCCCTAATGCACCTTGGCTTGTGTATGTTGGGCTGATTGGGGGGAGCTCCTTTCTTTAATTTTTAAGGAGATCCATGCATCTTTGTACTGTCACTCTATGCTTTGGGGTCCTCCCTGTACTTTCACTGAAAAACACTTTTTTTATTGATGATGGCATTAACAAATACCAACATACTTACGAAGACCATGTGACTAATATCATAGTTATTGATCCTAGTGTTATTATAGCCCCTTTTCTGAATAAAAATGTACTTACGAAGACCATGTGACTAATATCATAGTTATTGATCCTAGTGTTATTATAGCCCCTCACTTAGGTTATCTTTTTATAGCTTTTGTGTTCTCATTTCAACATTGAAATAGTTTGTAAAGGGGTATTGATATCCCACTCATGATTAATAGTTATTGATCCTAGTGTTATTTGATGAGTTATTGTCCCTCACTTGGGTTATCTTTTCTTATTTTTTGTGTTCTCATTGCAACATTGAAATAGTTTGTAAAGGGGTATTGATATCCCACTCATGATTAATAGTTATTGATCCTAGTGTTATTTGATGAGTTATTGTCCCTCACTTGGGTTATCTTTTCTTATTTTTTGTGTTCTCATTGCAACATTGAAATAGTTTGTAAAGGGGTATTGATATCCCACTCATGATTAATGGTCAATAGATTCATTATAAAGAATTTTGCTCTTTCTCTTCAAAATCAGTCAGCACAAAGATCTTATTCATTAAATTATAATTTTACATACATTTGCAGTTTAAGTTGTGGCTTCCTCAAAAAAAAGTGTGAAGCTTTGATGGTTACTAACCTGAGCAGTATGCACGTAATGATCCAGTCCTTGAAGCTCCTTTTTTTGGCTGGAAGCATTTGGTCTCGTGGTCAGTATCCTACTACCACCCTGCTCATTATTTCATCCGGAAAATCTTATTTATTCTCTTGACAAGCTTCTTGTCCTGAATAAAGAATTATACTTATAGGTGCATGAATCTATGGTAGTACCTGTGTCAATGTGGCTCCTCGAATGTTGCTCTATTAGGTTCATGCTTCGTGGCACAATTCTTTTATTAGGTGGGCTTTTGGTCTGGATAACTAATTCCTGAAAAATGCTAGATGTTGCACTGGTGCAATCTTTTTGTTGCATATTCTGTCTCTCTGGTATCAATTAGTTCAAGATTTAGATTGCTTTAATCTTCTGAGATACCTATCTGCAAATGTTGTTGCAGTATCAAAGTAAGCAGGTTGAGGAGGTTATTTTATAGGACTTAAATTGTTTTTTGGTGCTGCAGCACTGGTTTTTTTCAGATGTGGCAAAATAGAGGTACCATTACAAAATTTGGTTTCTTATTTGGAACAGTGTTAGACTCCTATTCACTTTTCGCAATAATGTAAAAATCTGTTTAAATTGCCAACTCTTCACTTCTATGATCAATATTTTTTTTGTGTTTAAATCTAGGCTTCTAATGAGAGAAGCAAGGTTGTTTACAGTCAATCTGAATGTCTCTTTTAGATCGACTCCATTATCTGCTAACGGGTTTGCTAATTCACTTGCCAGGACAGGGTGCTACTGTAGAACTAGAATGATGGGGGATCCATGGGTGGAGGTCAAACTGTAATATTTTGAACAATCTGAACATTCTTTTACCTACTGATATTTAGAAATAGCCTGGCTAGAGAAATGGTGGTCGCTGTTTAGTTGTGGATTTGAGGGGCAAAATGAATCTTTGGCTGCATGATGCTGAAGAATAGACCTGCAAATTAAGAAGCCCATTTGGTTTGCAGGAATAGGGGTCCGGAATTGCAATCAGAATGGCCCACTCCGATTCCAGGCGTTTGGTTGGGCGGAATCGGAATCCTATTCCCATTCCAGGTGGAATGGAAATCCCCCATTTGAGGGAATGGCCATCCCCGACAAGAAGTTTCTAACTCAGTCTCAAGCAAGAAGACTAAGAGATGAGAAAAGGTTATGTAATAGCTATGTTCTCTGGCCCAATTGGAGTGGGAGACTCTTTGAGGGCTGAGGTGTTAGCAGCTTTGGAAGGGGTACAAAGGGCCAAAGACCTTGGGTAAAGAGAAAGTTCAAATGGCTGATCAAGGATATGGAAGTCCAGTGTACTTGGGTAAAGAGAAATGCCAACTCCTTTGTTGATGGATTAGCTAGGCAAGGGGTTAATAGGGTTTCTGGGTTCTGGGCTCAGTTGTAATTGTTGTTTTTATCAGTTTGGGTGCATTCCCATCTTCCGGGGAGCTAAGATACCTTAGCTCCTTTTCTTTGTAATTTTAATTCCATTTAATGATCTGTGGTTATTGATTAAAGAAAAGGCCATTCCCGGCCCACCCCCGGAATAAAATCCCATTCCCACTCTTCAATATAAGGAAAGACAAAATGACAAAAAAACCCCTCAAACTTCTCTAACCGGTTCCAACTTTCTAACCCTCACTCCCCATCTCTCACTGCCCCCTCATTTGGCAGTTGAAATTTGAAAAGTTAAAAGTTGATCTGAACTGAAACTCCGGCGATGATGACAAGGTAAATCACCATCAATTTTTTCTCTCCCCTTCCCTTATTCTTCTTCCTCTCCTCCTCTCTCTCACAGTTTTTATTTTCATTCTTTCCCCAGTTTTTCCGCTGCAGACCAGACCAGACCACAGCAAAGTAAGTTTTCCTTCTAGCAAAGTATTTCTTATATAGATTTTAGTATATAGTGTTTCTGCCATGTGGTAAATATGGATTTCTCACATACCTCGAACCTCATGGCCGGAATTAAAACAAAAGGCGCCCTATTTTCTGAAATTGTTTTATGCAATGATAAAACTGTGTAGTTTTAAATGTTTCTATCAATTGTTTTCGTACTTATTTGAATGTGAGATCTTGTTAAGAGGCCTGTCCATGTTTGCTGACTCGATGTGAAATCTGAATCAAGCCTCAGTCAGATATAAGTCTTGGTTAAGTTGTTGAAATCATCTTTTATTTAAAGGCAGACAGATTTGGTGTCACTGTGAATTGTAGTTACAATGAACATGAGTGACTTGTATGTAGGTATAATGAACAATTTGGGTTGGCCATGAAAAAAAAACAGGGAATGGACTATATGTCATTGTCAGGTAGAGAAAGATGTGTTGGAAGTACCCAGAACATCAATAGATTGATACCCACAATGCAACTCTCTCTCTCATTGATAAAAGTTGAACCCAATGTTTTAAAACGTGGAGGCGTGACGCGAGGCATTCCACTACCTAGAAGCGTGAGGCGTAGTTCAGAACACCAGAGGCATAAGCCTCCCGAACACAAGGAGCCGTAAGCCTCCTTAAGAGGGGGGGGGGGGTTAGGATGAGGATGAAGAGGACGGGGGATCTCATTTTTTTTCTTTATTTTTAATAAAAATCTTTTATATTAAGAAGAATAAAGATGCATAACATTAGTTGAAAGGGGACATCCGTGAACCATGATTTCTTATTGCAATTACCAAACTACCCCACAGCTGATCACCCCACTCCCACTCACTTCTTTGTCTGCTGCTTTAGTGGCTATATTGCTATTACATCCATCAATCTCAGGATTTGCCCACGGCTGAAGTCATTGTAATCGTTAATGATCAATCCAATATACCATTCAGGCTTCAGCCATTAAGGGGGTCTTCCGTGTTATTCAATAAAAACTGTTTTTTATTTTTCTTGTTTTTAGAAAATTCCACATTAAGAAAGGAAAAAAATGTTTTTACACACTTATTTTCTCAAAATAGAATAAAAATAATTCGTTTGATTAAAAACATAGAACAATCTTGTTATTTAAACCAACAACAAAATACTCCCAGAACCAAAACACATTTTACAATGCTCAAGTGATTTCTATGGAAGAGTTTTGACCAATCAAAACTAATCAGATCAGACAGGGGCAATTGATTAGTAAGGAATTATAGTATTGTTTTGGGTAGTAGATTTTGTTTGGAAGGATCAGTTTTGAGGAAAGGTGTTATGGTGTGGTATTTATTTGTTTGGGCTAATTTTGAGTGTATGGTGCTGTTCATTATATCTCATCACCTCTTTATTGTAATTCCTTTTTAGTTCTTTTATTATCAAAAAAGGGTAAAATAAAGAATTTATTCCAGTTCTATTGCTGGTTACTAGAAATAGATGGTAATGGGCCTAGCTCTAGGCTAATGAACATTGGATTGAATTAGGATAGACTGGTTTAGAATGAGGATAGGAAAGGATTTTAAAATTGAACTTCCCAAATGCTAGTTTCCGATCAAGTGTTTTCCTCTCTCTGCCTAATCAAGAATTTTTGAGTTAAAATGTTGCTCACATTTATGATTGATATATATTGTTTGAAAGAAATGTGCATTTAAGAGAAAGAAATCTCACATTTGATGTTTTGCACTTGTTGGTAATTACACACAGCATTTGCAGTAGCCCCCACCAGCAAGAACAACCTCCTCCAGCTCACAGATGACCTTTGTAACCTTTTCTTTGCATTTTGTCCAAGATTTTATTCTCCTCTTGATAGACAGAACCTTAAATATTACAACCAATGATACATGCAACTGGTAGATGGCCATTGACATACCAACAGAACCATACCATTGGCCATAATATACCAAAATAATTAGTTAAATATCAAACAAAAAAAAACATGGCAAATTTCAGTTTGCTTCCTGAACTCCTGGTTCTTGTTTTGAAGATCTTCATCCAATGCTTTTGCCTAGGGGTGGATTTGAGCTGAGCCGAGCTGAATACTTGGCTATTTGAGCTCGGATTGCAAGAATAGTATCAGGTTCGAGCTCGATTCGAGCTAGAGACTTGAGCTCGAGCTTGGCTAGGTTCATAGCTCACATGTTTGAGGTCGGCTTGGCTCGAGCTCTACTATAAACCAAGCTTTTTTTGAAAAAAAAATTATATATATAATTATAAAAATTATTTTTACTTTACATACAAGAAAATAAAAAAATAAAAATTATTTACTATTATACATAAAAAATAAAAAATCGTATTAATAAAAATATTATTATATATATAATAAAATTATTTATTATATGTATGTATGCATGTATATATAATAAAAATCATTTATTTAATACTAGGCTCACGAGCCTCACTAGTCGAGCTTCACTGGGCTCGAGCTCGGCTCGATTAGCAAACAAGCTTATATATCAGGTTTGAATTCGGATCGAAGCTCGGTTTAAACCGAGCTCGAATAGCTCGTGAAAGGCTTGGCTTGTGGCCACCCCTACTTTTGCCAAGGCATTCTGTACTTGTACTATTTGGATGAAGCTCCTAATGAGCTCATAGAAATAATTCTCTTCAACCTTTTCTAAGATCTTTCCTTCAAGTTCCTGATGTTGAAGCTTGGGCAAGGAGGTTTTCTTTATCTTCTGCAAGCAAGTGTTGTATTCCCAGGAGTAAAAATAGCATGTAGTGGGTTGCATGTTCCTCTATATTATCTTGTGGACTTTAAGAGTAGTCTAAGAAGTTGCCATCTCTCTCTCTCTTTCTCTCTCTCTCTCTCCCACCCTGTTCATCCAGCTCTTTAATTACTAAATATATGCGGCACTGAAACCCTCCAAAAAAAGAGAGGAAATGAATACCATCAGCCTGGCAAGAAAGGGCCCTAGTGCCCAATCATTTTATAGATCTGGGCTCCATTTCACCTTGGACAAGAATTCTAAGATTGAGCATTGTGGCTAGTTAGTTTTTGACAACGAGGTAGTGTTAATCTTGGCATTGTGGCTAGTTAGTTCTTGACAACGAGGTAGTGTTAATCTTGGCATTCCCATCGGTGTTCCTGGTGCCAAGAGTGAAGGAACAATCCATTTTCTGTATCCACGCCGTTGGAGTTCACGGTCATGGTGATGGGGTGGAGAAGACTATTCTTATTTGGCTTTAGAGTTGAAATTGTGAGATCAAGTTGTAACTAAGAGATTCTTAGTATATTAAATAAAACAATTAGAGGAAAAGAAACTAACCGGTGTATTTTACCCTAGGGGGGTGTTCTTTTTTCGGATTTTGAGAGGGGGAAAGTTGGTCAATGGGATTTTGGTTCCCATAATCCTATGTTCTTTTTTCAGATTTATGTGGGGAGCAGGGAAAGTTTATTTTCCCCCTATCACTTAAAATGGTTATTGCCTTGAGTAAATTATTGTACCCACCACCGGTGGTTATGATTGGGTTAGGGTTTTATGTTGATAAATCCCGTACTTGGGAACAGAAGGAGCTGTCATGTTCTTTCTAAACATTATCGAACAGTGCCTTGCCTGCTGGATATAGACATTTTTTTTGTTTTTTCTGTAATCAATGAAGATTATGCCATGATTAATCCATTTTGTACAGAAAAATGCAGACAGTGCTCCATCGCTACATGTTCTGTTTGCTGCAATGAGCCGCCTAATCCTGCAACCCCCATTTCTCCAGAGAGACCTGTTTGGGCCCTCTTTGTCCAGAGAGACCTGTTTGGTCCCCAGCAAATCAACGAGTGCTTTTTTTTTGGTTCGAATCAGCCTTATTAAGGCTATTGCACCAAATTGTTCGTTCAATAACTGCCCTGTTAGTATTTTTATTTGTTTTAGGTTGCAATTAGTACCTTTGGCCGTTTTTTATGCTTCTATAAATATGGCCGTTATTTGGCATATTGGATTGCAGCGGTTCATGTTCCAGCAATCACGCTTGTTGTGTACGTCTGTGTAAACCTAGCTATGTCCCAGTTTATGTTCTTCAATTTTTATGTTAAAACTTAATAGCTTACTCTTGGATGAACCAGTATCATCAGTGGTAATTACCAAAATTCAACTGGGGGATGGGGGTGGAACGGGTGTGATTGGTCAAAGCCCTTTATGTTCCGGTACCAAGTGTTTCCCACTATATCCATAAGGTATATTGCAAAAGTCTCTTAAAATTGTCTTTTTGACACCACTTCTAAGGCTATCTAGTAATAGGGGTGTCAATGGACCGGTTTTGGGTTGGACTCCATCCAAATCAAAATCCATTTGGATGGATTGGACGGACCAATAAGACATTTAATTTGGAAGGATTGGATGGACCAATATGACATATTGGATTGGACCTGGTTCGTCCATAATGAATTTATATCGGATTGAGCCAATATCTGGTCCATTGATAGAAGATTAGAACATAGGTGTCAATGGACCAGGTTTGAGTTGAAACCAATCTAAATTAACAAGAATTTGAACAGATCGAACAGTCTGGACTGGTCCAAAATATTCATTAAACTGGATTGGACCAGGTCTATTTGTAATGGACTCACATTGGAACCGGATTGGACCAAATCCAGTCCAATTGACACCCCTATCTAGTAATAGCGAAGGTTAAAAGCAATATTTTTTAATTTGCCGTTGATTTGGATGGTTGAACCATTTGACTTGTCACCCAGTCACAATTCTGGGTATGGGTTGTGCTTGAACTGTTGACCCATTTGACCTTGTTATTTGGTCTTGGGTTACATACTAAATGTGTATTTAAGTTTTTGGAGGCCATAATTTCAAGGGGCCAAAGATGCTTTCCCTTGTTATTTTTTGCTAAAAAAAGCCTTTTTTTGCTTAAAATTGTAATTTTAGCATTTTTATAAATAAAAACAAAAAAACTAAATTAATAAAATAAAAATCAAACATAAATTATACACATTTATTAATATAATGCATATCTATATAAATATATTAAGCTGAAATGTGTACGTGAGGTTTTAGGATGAGGGAAATGGAATCCAACAGTATTTTTTGCTTTTCTTTCATAGAAATTACAAGAACGCCACTCTACTAATTCTCTCTCTTGTTTTTTTTTGTCTTTTCAAATTATGAGAATGCCACTCTCCTACCAATTCTTGTTTTTTTTTTAAATTACAAGAATGCCACTCTCTCCTATCAATTCTCTCTCTCTCTCTCTCTCTGTCATTTTTTTACAAATTTCAAGAATGCCACCCCTCCTTTTAGATTACAAGAATGCTACTCTCTCTCCAATTGAGGGAGACAGCTTGGCATCTCGGCTGATAGGGGACTTGCAATCAAAGGTAGTTAAGTTAGAGCTGTGCTGAGCTCAAACTTTTGAGTTCAAGCTCAAGTTTCTAATTCGAATTGAGCTTGAACTAGATGAGACATCAACTCGCCACTTCGGTCACTAAGGGAGATCTTGGCTCAACACCTCGACAATTGAGGGAGACTTCAGTTCGACAACTTGTCAACTAAGGGAGATCTTAGCTTGACACCTCGCTTATTAGGGAAACCTCAGTTCGACACTTTAGTAGTTGAGGGAGACCTTGGTTCGATACCTTGGTTGTTTGAGAGACTTGCAATTAAAAGTAGCCGAGCTTGAACTTCTGAGCTTTTGACTCGAGCCGAGCTCGAGCTCGAACTCAAGTCTCTAATTTGAATTGAGCTCGAGCTTGATAGTTTATGAGCAAGCCCCTGCAACGCAGGGCCCCCTCCGTTAGTCTATAATTAAATATAAATAAGGCAAAAATGATTTGACCTCCGAATTGGTTTTTAAAAGATTGGTTAAAACTGCCAGAATCATTACCATAGTTGGATTTGGATCATTCATCATTTTATTTGCATCAAATTCGAATGTGATGATCTGATACCATTGGTTGACAAGTTAAGCCTGAGCCCTATGCTATTTCAAAGAAATGGGATGCTTATACAAACTTGTTCCTAATTGGTAGGCTAACTAGGGCTGCCCTCTATCCATTTAGTATTGAAATCATATGTAGATTTAATTCAAATCAGATTTGGATATAATTATAACTCAATCCGATCCGCATGCAACTTGACAACAGCCCTATCACGAACTGCCAAGAGATGAAAAAAAGAAAGGGAAGTGCCAACTTACCAAGGTTGAAAGACCCACCTAAATATGTTTGTATTTGGCAAGCTTTTCTGTGCAGTCTTGTGAGCTTCAGCAAGGTTGAAAGGCCAAAAATCGATATTTTTTGTTTGACCACCAAAATCCAGAAATATGAGAAGACGTGTGCGGAAAGACCTAAAAAGACCAAAAACATCGAATTTAAGGAAGCTTCAAATGAAGCTTTTTGGTCTTTTTGTGTGATATATAGCGTCCAAACACACTTTTAAAGGCCCGGTAAACTAAGCCGTTTACCAAAAGGTCTTTGTTTTTAAAGACATGATTTTATAAACTCAATATGTCCTTTGGCCATCTGGGTTGTTAGAAGACTTTTCTAAAAACAAGATTTTAAAAATTGACCTGGAAATGGAACTGCTTTGGCCACCTTTTTATGGTTCGACGGTTCGACCATCTGGGTTAAGCGGTCCAAAAGTTTCAATTGTATATCTCTTTCTAACCTTTGGAATATTAGGGTAGGATAGGATATATATGTTATGAGAAAGGGGCATGAGAATGAGAGTGAAAGGAGGGTTTGTGACACCTGTTGACTCAGAGGAGGGAGGAAGCAGAGGCGTGGGTGACCTATAGCAGCGACGGTGATGGTAATCTACAGTGGCAACGACGAAGGTGACTTACAGTGGCAACACATCTCTCAGATTTCTCTCTCTCTCTCTCTCACACACACACACACACCTGTAATCTGAAATGTCTCTTACAGATCTCATCTCTGAAAATAAGATCTCTCTCAGCTCTCTCACAGATCTGAGACCAATCTTGCTTCTCTGTTTTTTTTTGTTATTTTATTTTTTTTGAAAATTTTAAATAAAACATATTAGACCACAAACCATTGCCCGGGTTAAACGGTTCAACGGTCAGACCATCTGGGTCAGCAGTTAACAAGATAACAATTCAGCACTAAAACGGAACCAATATCTTAATCGGTTTCTGCTCCAAATGATCCAACTGTCCGAATCAACGATGGTTCAAAAGCGCCGTCTAAAAAGACTTGCCAAATGACACCTGCATTAAGCTCCATTTTGAAAGATTAGATCAATAAATCACCCAATCAAACTGCCACTTGTTGATGGGGCAGGTCCCGCATGAAAAGTGAAAATATTTACGGGGAGAGATCAGTATTTAGTAGTCAAATGAACCCATCTACATGTATTTGAATTTGATTAAGAGGTCCGAGTCTAGTTTATGGTGGAACTACAACCACAACTACTATCATGATCATGGTCATCATCATCATTATTTTTAAGTTTCTAGAAGTTTGAACTCTTTTCTTCTTTTCAGAAGACGAGAATGGCTGTTTTTTAAACAAGTTTTCACACAAAACAACTTCACTCCCAAAAATCTCGTATTGTTACAACCGGCGACTGCAAGAGTAGACCGTCGCAGTGGGAATAAGGCCGAGGTTGGTTACAAAAATTGTCACTTTGTAGTGAAAACTATGGTTTTCCCAAGTACAAAAAGGACCAATGAAAGTTCAATAAAGAAAATAGTGTTGATCAATGCCCGATCTACTGTCCACCCGAAAATTGTCACTCCACCAGGATTGGACTGCAAATACAATACTGCATCGAGCATAGTGTGTGTCAAGTAAGCACAACATTGATGGAAGAGGAGAATATATCGATTCTATCTAGCAAAATATATATGTAGATAATTGACAATAACACTACAAACATATCACATCCCTGGTGATGAATGATTGAATTCCTGGCTGAGAAAGCGATTAATGGTGGTACATGATATCTAGAATATCATCTTCTAAAAATACAGAATATCAAATGATGAATCAGACAGAAGTTCACTAGAAGGATTCACTCTTGTCTAAGTAAGTGCAAGCCACAAATAATCCAACCATCATTATGAAGTTTGATTTAAGAAAGAGGTGGGAATGAAGAATTCCTCATATAGGACAAATTAATCTGTCCGTATAATGTCTCCCCACATGGGAAGACAACAAAGATGCATAATTGTAATTCAGTGTATTTCAACCTTGAGCCATAGTCCTGACAAGACCACTGTGACTACCATGGATGTGGAAGAACATACTATGCATACAAAATACTTGCTAACAATGGAAGATGCCAAGCTTTTAAGATACTACAATGTCCACCGATATATTTGCAAGTGCCCGAGTTAAAAACACAATACATGCTATTATTTTATGCTGGAACACTGAACAGGAGAGGAGATCTGACAAGACAGAGGAACCTAGTTTAACCAGAAATGAGAAAGATCCCTAGGATAGAGGAACTTCTACAAATCTCGCTACAAGCACATGATACCTTTAATAAAAGTAGCTCAACACGATTCATTTCCTTAGGCAACATAGAACTCTTGCAATTTGCACATGAAACTCTAGAAATTGAATACTTACACATTCCTAAGAAGGAAGGTGCTCTGGGAGTGTGAAATCTTAGGACATTCAAAATTGCCTTGCTAGGTAGCTACAGAGGTTCTGTGATAGTCTTTGGAGGCATGCCATTGTTTCAAAATATGATACAAGAAATTTTGATTGGAATCTAGGTGGGTCTATTTCCTCTTTTTTTCAAATAACATACATTAATCATTGAGAAATTTTAAGTACAACGGGGGGGGGGGGGATAAACTGTCTTAACTCCCCCAAATGAGGCAGAGGCCACCAAAAGAAATATAAGTAAAACCTAATTAGAAGTGATCCCAGAACAAGGATTCCCTATTCACCCCTTGCTTGGCGAACCCATCAGCAAATGAGTCAGCACTTCTTTTCACCCAGCTGCACTTTATCTCAATGTCCTTGATCAGCCAATTAAATTTTTTCTTTTCATTGCTGTAAGTGTAAATCCATGTTCCAATCTTTTTCTTCCTTTAACCAACCTACTACCACCTCCAAGTCGCCTTCAATTACCAACTTACTAATATTCAATTCTTTAGCTCTTTGGATTCCTTCCAAAGCTGCTAGGTCTCAGCCCTGAGAGAGTCACCTTTTCCAATTGGGCCTGAGAAAATAGCTAATACATTCCCATCCTCATTCCTGAAGACTCCAATTGGGTCTATTTCCTCTTATGGTTGTATGGTGTGGAAAAGGATCTGAGAAGGCTTACTTATGGGTTATACATAAAGGGAAATGGATGCAAAATAGGCAAGGGATCAAGGGATCAAGGGTTAGGCTATGGAAGGACAAGTGATGTAATGACCCAACCACTTGTGGAGATTTTCCCCTCACTTTCCATGGCAGAAGCTAACTTGGAGGCTTTAATCAGGGACTCTTTTGAGGTTCACAATGGAACCCTCTTTTGAGAAGACATTTCAATGATTGGGAAGGATGGCTAATCTTCTACATAAAACTCACAGTGTCATCCTATACTTGGATCAAGAAGATATCCATCACTCCATTAGCACAAATAGAAACGAGAGATAAATGAAAAGGGGAAAGGGGAATGTTAGAGAATAGATCTCCTTATCAACAGAGTGCAGGCAAAAGCATGTCACAGTGATATGCCAATCTTCAGGGGTTAGCCAGGGTTTGGGGGGTTCTGGGTATTTGGGGGGGGGAGGAACAGGCTACCTCCCAGTGTGTAGCCCCTGAAGCAAAAATCAGCAAGGGAAACTGACAATGCCTCTTGAATAAACAAACCATTGTTTTGAAACAGTCTCCACACATTAGGAATAAGAAGTGTATATGAAATAGGAGATTCATCCATCTTGATCGTAGTTACGGCTTCATATTTCATTGTCAACTTTATCATGAATCCAAGAGGAGATGCTTCATGGATGGCATAATTCATTAAAACTATTCCTACTTCACTGGTATTTGAGGCATATTAGGGAATTAGATAACTATGTTATTGATGATTTCATGCTAGTTTTCAATGGATAAACAAAGCAAAACAAAAACAAGAATAGAAAAGAAAAGAAAAATTCTGACATGTCATGATGATCACTTACAGCATGAATGCTTCACATGGTTATGTACTTCACAATGCTCATAAATGGAAAAAAATTATGGATAACTACGCATGTGTATATACATGTACACGTAGACAAGCATGTTTGCTTATTATGAACAAATCCATCTTGTAAAGAGGGAGCAGTAGCTTTATCATATTTCTAACTGGCAACACTGAAATTAGTTAAAAACAGCACCAGAAGATGGATTAGAGTATTTATCTATACAACTTGAAGAGATGAGAAATAAGTATCTCAGAGTATTTTATTTTATGCTAAATTGAAGAAGAAAGTTGTCTAGGGAACCTAGAAATTCCTATTAGCAACCTCCTTATTTTACAATTAATATGGATCAGCTAGAATAGATCAGCTGCCCCTGTGCCTTACTAGAACAAGTCTAAAGAAGAGGTCTGCAGCTTTTGGACCCGTCTTGTGGCCTCTGTGGCCTATTGCCTGAAACAACAGACCATCTGAGTATCCACTGTTCTGTTTCTTCCAAGGTGTGGGAGCACTTCCTCAATGCTGTTGGGTAATGCCGAGGTCAGTCAAAGACTTACTGTGTTGCTGGAAGATCCAAGGTTTGAAGAAAAAAAGGAAAGCTGGTCTGGAGATCTGTTCCTGCAGCTGTCTTATGGTCTATTTGGACTGAAAGAAACAATAGAATTTTCTGTAACAAGTTGAAGAGTTCAGATGACGTAGTGCAATGTGCAGTTAGTAAATTGATATCTTGGTCTCTGTAAAATCTAAGCTCAAAACCTGAATTTGCCTGAGTTGTTAAGATCCCATTCCCTAGGGAGTTTGTAATCTGATCTGCTTTCCTAGCTAACCTCAGTGTGGCTAGGAAGCTGTTGTACTATTTGCTAGCTGTTCTAATAAAATTTTGTCTTCCCTTTCAAAAAAAAAAAAAAAAAAAGAAGAAGAATAGATCAGCTGCCCTTCACAACTCTGCTATGGTGATAGGATAATAGACTATGGATCATTAGTAACTTGATCACTCTACAAGTAGCACTTGTAACTGAGGTTGGTATAGGCTGAACTTGGATGTACCAAAGATAACATATAATCTATAATATAATTGGTATTAACTATTGTAAGTACATAGATTTAGGCACAGTGATTTAAAAGGCGTGCCTAGGCGCATAGGCGGGGCGCATTTTAGGGTATGTGCCTTGCCTAGGTCCTAGGCGCATCCTTTCAAAAGGTGCATGCCTGGTGCGCCTAGGTGTGCGCCTGATGTGCCTTGTGCCTCAGCCCAGGCATGTGCCTTTTGAAAATTTTACGCTTTTTTTTTTTACTTTTTTTGAACTTAGCGGCTAGTACGGGGGCTCCGAGCACCCCCTATTTGCTAATGTTGTTCATTCATTCATCCTAACAAAATATCTTCTTAAAAAGCAATTAAAATTATAAAATCATTATTTTTTGTGTGTGAACTAAGAGTTTAAGACCCTAACATGGACTTGTTTGGGCTTGCCTCAAGGGCGTGGCACAAAGGCGGCTCATAGAATCAGGAATGTAATATGTTTACATCACATTAGCTACTTAAAGTAATGCAATTGAGGAAAAAAAAAGAGATTGTGGGTTTTACATGCTTGAAAATGTTTTATATGTTTGATTTTATTTTTAAATTTTCATTTGAATACACTTTACATGTTATGTTTATGTATTTTAATTTTAGATAATAAGTTTTTTTTAAAACATTTATTTTAAAACTTAAGTTTATTTTTTTATTAGTATTAAGTTTAATATTTTTTTTTGCATTTTTTGATTTTTTTGGCATTTTTTGAATTTTCTGACTTTTTTATTTTTTAGCCTTTTTTTTTGTATTTTTGCGCCTTGTTTCTAAAAGGCGTGCGCCTCACCATGCACCTTGCGCCTCAGGGCAAATTGGCCCTTGCACCTTTTTTGCGCCTTGTGCTTTTAAAACACTGTTTAGGCATCGTGGGAATTGCGATAGAGATCAAGCAAGTACATCATCACAGTGTGTCCATATTGCAGCATAGGCCAAAACCCACCAGTGTGACCCCACCTTACAATAACTACCAAATTGTAATGGGTGCTTTCACCTTACGATGTGACATAACAACTTGACATTGCAGTGCAAAGCGAGCTGGTTTTAACTTAGGAACCTTGCCACCACAGTTTTACCCTGCAAATTAGTGCAACATCGCAATGACCTCCTGCGTTGTGATGGCACTCTGCCTTAATACCATATTGCAACACTGTGACAGTATAACTCACTCACACTCACCTCGCGATGTTGAGCCAGCACTTAAGCCATCCCCAAGAAAATTTCCAAGGCACAGTCAGGCACATTTCTAGAAGAGGGCAGTAGCTACACTTTGCTCATTTGCAGATCCCGAGGAGAAGGGTGGGAACCCAGACATTGGGGTCTCTGCCAGACTCAAACCCTAGCCTCCCTCAAGTTCTCTGTAACCTCTTCCCTCCTTCCTCCTCCCCTTACAGAGCCATCCATCTATCATCCTTCAGGTTGTAGCCTTACCCACCCTGCCTACAACTACAACATATCTGGGGCTGATAAGAGAATAGAAGGAAGATCACATGATAAAATGCAATAGTATCAATTATACAGAAAAGAAGATCACAGCACTTGTAATCTGTTTTCAGCTTAATAAATAAAGTTATTTTGCTGGTCAAAAAAATTATACAGGAGATATAGATGTATTTTCATGCAGGAGGATGCACCACATAGCATAAAATAGGATGGGCCTTCAAGAAATCAAGCCGCGACAAGCGCTTGTCTTTCTATTTTCATAAATGACAAAAAAGAACTTTTATAAAGAAATAATGAACTTGTAGCATAACCTGATTCAAGGTAAAACAATGAAGTGAAAGTGAAGGAAACAAAGCAACTACTAATCTTGCTCCAAACAAACATGACAATAGGTAGATAATTAGTCCCTGCAGAGAAGTTGCCATAAATGGGGGCATTCAAGGCTTTGATACTATTTCAAAAGTCAAATTTATAGAAGAAAATCATGAAAAATGCCTAATCATTATACACAAGAAAGGTGCTCTTCCAATGTACCTGATGCTCAATGGAAAAAATGGTGATATATCTAACAAGCATGGAAGAATATCTGGATCTAAAGAAGATTTCTAGGTGCAGATTGAGATTATAAAGACTGAAATTAGAAGGATTATGGGGTTCCCTTACCTTTTTGGTAGCTTTTATTATAAGATGGAGCAAACAATTTTCTCTTTCCAATTACTGAAAAAAAATTCTCTTTCCAGTTTGGATAGTGCCGTTATACTCATCAGAAAGGAAATATTTTGGTTGGTAAAAAGGAATCCTAGTGTTTAAGGAGCATTACTCATGTTTGTCTATACTCCATATTTAATTGCATTAATTGATATTTCTCCTATTATACTATTAGGTTTTAGCTACATAATTTGCACTTAGATTGAAAACAAAATTCTGTCTAGAAAAAGGTGCTTATTAAAGCTTGCAGTCCCTTTGATGTGACATGATCATATGACCTGCCAGCTCCAAGGTCCACAATCAGGGACCGAACCAATCGTTTAGATTGAGTCCACGAATTGTCTCTTTCCAGCAACCTTTACCATAAGCTTTAATGAGCTTTATGCAACAAATTATATGAGAACAACAAAATTTCCTACATTTTATGTACTTGTGTTTTTTCTTTTAAGTTGGTCTTTTCCCTAAGAACCTGGGCCATTTATGAGCTAAGTTCTTTTTCAACCTTGGTGATGAAGATCCAAGTTAAGAGTCGAGGTTAAACGGTGGGATCCTACCACCATCTCTTCCTAATTTTCTTTTCTTTATTGTTTTCTTCTTCAGTTTTTGAGACCATGATTAAAACTTTTGGTTTTCCCTAATGTTTCCAAAACCTTAAGTTCTTCTCAAAAAAAAAAAAAAAAAAAGTTTCCAACAACCTCCACGTTAATGGGAAGAGAGGCAAGATGTTCACATATCTTTTGCTGTTTATCAACAAGCATACAAGAAGTTTATCAACAAAACATGAAATGTAATAAAAAGTTGGCCTAATTCAATGTACATACTACATACCAAAGGCTTGTCTCTTATGGTATGTGGACATATAAGATGCCAATTGTGAATTTGTGGAAAATGGAAGATAATCCACCGACTCCAAATCACTTTCAGAGTAATTTATTGATATTGAACCAACTTGGTTGCTGGCCTCCAAGTTTCCCATACTATTTGAGACTCTTAACTGAGATGCATCAGTAGAACTGCATGTTAATAAAGCATGCCACCGAGATGCAACTGAAGCAATGCCTTGCGCTCTGTGGGAAATCTTTGCAGCTGCATGCAAACAAAGAACTATTCCAACAACCTGAACAATTGATGAGACCTGAGAACATCAAAGTATAGGAAAAAGTGAGTCTTGAATATACAAACGGACCAAATTATAAAACAGTAATGAGATACAGCTTGAAAGAAAACTTTTGAGTTGCACCAATTATAGGTGCTTCAAAAAGAAGCATTGCATATGATGAATACATTATTAGTTGTTCTTATCAAAAAAAAAAAAAACATTATTAGTTGCAGAATATTGAGGACCACAAAATTACAAAGACTAAAAAAGACCATCACCCAATTTTGGTCTCTGCTATCTGGGGTCTACGGAGGAGTTGACTGGATACCGACCTAATGTATAGATGGCAATTCAGTGGTTAATCAGGTAACCACTTCAAAAAGTAGAAACCCTGCGTTGTCTTGTGTACTGTCCTGCCTAACACGTTGGTGCTTTCCATGGGGCAGTTCAGTTTAGGTTCAAGATGATGTCTAGTCAGACCTGATCCAGTCTGAGCTAACCCATTCTATACCAAACCACACCTTTGCCATTTCTACTAGCAGCTTAGAGAGTGACCCGAAGTTTTCATGTGGAATAATCTGAATAAGAAGACTTCTTGTAAAAGGTAAGAATCAGAAAGATAATGAGAAGTGTGATGGGGTAGGTTAGACCACATGTGAAGAGGTGCCAAGTAACTCCAGCTGTACATTGTTGTTTATTACAAACTAATAAAACCATTATTTGTTATTAATCAGAAAGAACAAAAAAGAGCTTTTTGTCTCCTAGATTTTTCTACTGGGGGCTTGTTGAGGGCCCGGGAATAGGATCTCGTCACGGGTCGGTCCACGGGGAAAACCTCCTGTTTTCCCTTGTTCCTTCTTGCTCGTGATGAACCTATCTTGGCACCTTCGGTGATTTGTCCAAGAGATCACCAACTCTCCTAACTCACTCTTGACTGAATAATTTGATATCTCATTCAATAATGGGGTCT